TGGTGCTTCACTAGCTGAGCAGATTCCATGACCCAAAAAAAGTTCAGGTAGAAAATCTGAAATCACAACAACTCTGAATGTAACAAAGAGTGGGTAAGGTACAGTGGACGGTGTGGAAGGTACGGTGTTTTTCAAAAGAACAAGGCCGGAGGAGAGGGGGATAGTTCACAAGACGCAGAGAAAGCCTTCTTCCTTCTGAAGTGGCTCTAAAACTGAACCCCTTGTAGGACAGATTAGGTAGGCCAATGTACTAGCTAACGATCAGCCAAATCTCGACCTACGGAGGAGATCCGGACGATTACAAAGATTCTGAAGACCAGACAACTGCAAAACAGTCTGTCCAGAGCTCGGACTCGCAAGAAAAAAAACCAGAGGTCCACGACCATCTGATGAAAGCGCCACCTTACCCTCCCCCAGTCTTTCCCGCTACCCTCCCCCAGTCTTTCCCGCGGAAATCTGTGAAAATTCGACGTTCTCAGCGCAGTCTCATTCATGCAGAAAAAACTATCCGACGATTGCCCAATGAGGCAAACTTGAACGTACCGTAATTCCCGAAAAAAAGCGACCGTATCAAGCGTGGAAGTTTTTTTCGTGCTCACCGAATGGCTTCATTTTAATGCATCGATTCGCGCGATCTCATGGCGTAACGCAGTAGTTCGAAAAACGACCGTCGAAGCAACGATGAGCGATAAAAGTTGATTTGTTGAGCAGCGTTGCCGATGTTGCGATTCGGCCACATATCACCCACCGCCCGATCAGACGTCGCTACCATGACGTACTCGGCAAGGACGACGACCTCGACTTGAAACACTGCCACTACAGTTCGTGCTGATGAACACTGAGGAACAGGCAGGCGATGGTTTCCATCAGGAGGGATAGCGATTGGGTCTGTGGCAGACTGTTTTTCGGGCTGAAATGTCGAGGTCAGGACCGGGAACTATAGCAAGCTCCCGTTGCGAAATCCGCATTGAGGAAATGGTCGTGTTAGAGGGCCCAAACATAGATAGCTTATCAAAGGATCATTCGCGATTAAAGCACTGGAGTAAGCGCTCTCGTAAGAAAATTAGCTGGGTCTATAATCATAGAGATGGGGTCGCTCAAAACGTGTAAAAAGGGTGGTATGGCTCCAGAACTCGAAACCATGGCCACCTCAACCTATTCCGATGGCGCGGGCCGCCACTGAGCCACACTTCCACACCTACGAGACTCGTTTTGCTTAACTTATATGCCATTTTTACATGTTCCGAAGTTATACCCTCCCCTTCAAAAAGCGAGAAAGTGTCGGGTGCAGACCATACACCACAAGTGACGACGGCCTTCACAAAATGTAATGTTTTCTGCCAATGAAATGATTAGCCTGTTGCAGTTGTATTCTATCGATTGTCACTAATTACAACTATCATTTACCAGAAATCAGCTATCACTATGAACACTTGGAGGCCGTCGTCAGTTGTGGTGTTTGGTCTGCACCGACACTTTCTCGCTTTTTGAAGGGAAGGGTACACAGTATCGAGTGAGTAGAAAGTGTAATTATCACAATGGTAAAGGTTCAAACGGGGACCACCTACTGGAGAAAAAGGTATGACAAAAGTTGCCACAACGCCTCACAATGACGGTCCTTAATGGGCATTTACGCAGGCAACCACACACGCCCACTCTTACGATGTCTGCTACTTCGCTTACAGCTCTACTCTCTCGTCCGTCGTTCTCTCACTTCGGCGTCTGGTGTCCTTTAAGCTGCTTGTCTCTCAGACAGCGCGGCCCGCTAGCGAGGCACACTTCCCAGTTTCTCCTACTGCTCATAGAAACGGCAATCCTATTTATGGCGTTTTCAAGGAGTTTCTTTTCTTTATTTCCCTCGACAGGTCAGTGGGTGCCTACTGTTCATATCTGTTAGACGAGTCGACCGTGGATCAAATCCCGCTCAAGCCTACTGAGCTTTCCATCCTTCGAAGGTTGCCCACGATTGCAGACATGACTGGGCTGATGAAAAACTGCTATTCAGCTGGCGTGTGGTAACTGTATAATGATCGGTATGATTGGTTTGGTTTCATGCAAAAGCTCAACGATTTTGAATGAAAGTCGAATACGTGGCGCATTCCCGATTCTTCAAGACATCGTGTTTATCTCATAGATATTCCTAAGAAATTAACTATTTCGTGATCTCGTCCTTGGCTGAGAGTTCTTCTCGGCTTAGTACCATACTCTTGGCTGAGAAAGGATATCACTCATCCTTGAATAGTTTTCTACGAAATCGAGTCGAGTAGTGTCTGCAGATCGAATCAATCACTCCTGCGAAGTCGAAAACAAGGCGCATTCCAAAGAAATCAAAATTTCGCTTCCCTCCATTTAGCCCTCATCTGTTTTATCCACAGGCATGATAAGATCTTTGATGCGCCTGCCGTGGACTGTTTGCGCCCGCACCGTTTTACTGGCCGGACGACGAAAGAAGATTCGCCGCGCACGGCGAAACTAGATGCGGACAATTTAGGCCCAGCCTCTTTCCGTCACTGATTGCGCGGATCGAATACTCAATTAATCGGGTCATTAGTTTACAGTAGCCTGCCATAACTGCAGAATTTCCTGGACTGTAACGGTTTTACCCTACCCAAAAAGTGTGCACACTAAAATGTCTACCAATCAAGGAGATGAAAACGAAGTACATTGGTCTTAGTCACTCTTTGGAGGTGCACCACATAGTTGGCTTCCATTCAGTGGTATATGAGAGTCTAGAAGCGCTATTACGCTCTGCCGAGCCGGACGGATGAACTCACAGTCATTATATTGTCCGTGTCGATCAGTGTGAACTAGTATATCGATGTAGGAGCCAGTCTGACACCGGTACACATCATCAGTACTGGGAAAAGGAAGCACAGACCGAGCTTGGACGGCCCTAAAGGCACAGTCAACCAATTGACAATCATAGAAGCATTGACATACGCAGTTGGTTCACTGAAGGATATCTAAGGCCAGCAGGACAAATATCAACGATTGATGTTCTAATTGTGACAGGAGCCTGATACCAGTCTGATACTTGATACCAGTACTTCTCCAAGTACTGGAAGAAAACGTCAGCCGATCTCGAGGGACCTAAAAGGTCCAGCGCTTGTTTTTCCAATGTTCTAAAAGCAATGGCCATCACCTCAACCCCGTGCCACATCCAATAAACTACTGACTAATGTTTCTTAGGTTTTGTTTAAGCGAGGCTACACATGAAGATTGGCTCACTCATCGCAGTTGCCAGGATTTGGTAGTGAACCCGTGGCTCACCAGTAACCATTCAAAGGCGCACAAGAGCTCAACAATCAGATACTTTGCCACAATTCGTTTCAAAAATGCGGTACCTGCGATTTTTTTCTGAAAATATGCATTTTTTGAAAAACACTCCCAATTGGGTGTCTGTTCAGGCTTATTGTATACAGGCTTTCAACAGTGGCCTTCATGAATAGGCTCAGGAATAAAGCGATTCACCTAAAAGACATCGGCCTCATATCCCAAGACCTTGAAGATGAGATGACTTGAAGAACCATCGCTGATCCCGTTGCTCTAACTGAGCCCTAATAAGTGTAAAGCCTTCCATAAAGCGCCGGCATGGAGCTTTTGATCACAGCGCATGAGCCTTCCGAGTGAAGTGGAGAGTTTTTATGGCAGTGCAGAGAATTTTCAGGACACTATAGACCAAGGTGAGCCTCAAACACAATAAGAATGTGTATATCCCAGCATTAACTATAGCCTATGAATATATCCCAGCATTGACTATAGCCTATGAACCGGTCTTATCACCACACCTCTGCAAGCCTTCCAACTTCCACACTTCTCACATGTAATTCTGCACTATGACCTAGGATGGAGACGTACCCTGGGTAGCAATCCGACCAGCGTCGCATTTCTTGGGCTGATGGATCCCGGCTCCCGTAACAGATCATAGTGAACTTTTGGAACCCTCAAGATTCCTCGGGGGTTCAAGTTAGAAATTGGGTCCCAAAAGAGCTCGGGCGAGAGTCACCACAATGGAAAGCAGTGCCGCGGATAGAAAGCTTGATTCAGAGACTGAACAAATCACGCAGTTATCTCGCTCACTCCATGCGCATGGGATATTAATAAAGTAGGGAGAAGTGCTGAGGAACATCATAACGACCTTTCCCAGTCTTTCACCCTTCCCCTTTCTTCCATTTCTTTGCAGCGTTTCAAGCAAACCTTTTTTTC